TCATCCTTGCCAAAAATCATGCACATTGAAAATCTTTAAGGCATCTAATTGACACCAATAAAATCATGAACACAATACTTTAAGAAAGTACTTAAATTTTAATAATTTAATAAGTGGTCAAATGATATCGTATTCAAGTGATTTTTTCTAGAGATGATCTTTGAATGAATATCTACAAAATAGACAGTTTGTATTAGTGAAATACAATGCAGAATGGGCCCTATAAGGGTGCTTCTCAAATAAGCTTATTTGAAGAATCCCTTAATGAAAGCTCTATATAAAGTTAAAGTAACATTACGGGAGACCGAGGTTTTGAAAGGCGAAGATATGAATTGTTTTGATAAAAAAAAAGGGTTGTTCCCATATAGGCCCAATATTATATCCTACACACATACCCACCTACTTTAAAATATTTACTTAAAACCAAAATTTAAAATAGCCTGTCATGTAAGATAGATTTGAACACAAATAAAAGAAATCCCTAAATTACATATCCAATAAATAAAGTACCTATAAAAATAATATATATATTGGTATTTTCTTTATAGGAAATATAGGTACCTTTTTTATTATAGAGAAATGGATTCATTCATAGAATCAAAGTAGTATACATAGAACGACATGAAACAGTGGCCTCGTTAAAACCTTCTTGACAGGACCCGCCTCGAATTCCTTGGAATCCGCGGTGAATCCTATAATATTTCCAACATCAATCTGATGCTTGGCCCACTTACTAAGAGTAACGAGACTTTCTACCGAAATTTCGGCAGAGTCTCCCCTAAAAATGGACATTTTCCAAAAATTTTAACCTGTTAAAAACACAATTATAAACACCAGAGGCCTTACAATCAACCCTAACATGGGCGATAATAGAGCATATCTACGAAATTCAGTTACAAACATAAATGAAGTTCAACGGAATAGAAATAATAAGAAGTTTGCCCTACACAAGCTCAGGCTGGGAGTTCACGACTTGATACGCCCGCTCGGTTCAAGACTTTCTACTGCATAGGGGCCGCAAAACAGAAAATGTGTGAGTGGACAAAAACAAAGTTTCATTATGTTTGAAAACAATATAATATAACCCTACTGTTTGGAAAACGATGCAGAAAACATGCATTCAAAACCGATATAGTTATATATATAACCAAGTCAAACTAAGTGAAATCCATTTCTCATAAAGATATACTAATACACATCCCACTCAAAACCTTTTCCATTTTTCCCATACTACTCTCTCAAAACACGTGCCCGTTGGCACGACCAACGTAAGGATCCTCACCGACAAATAAGAATGAATGTATATGTATATATATATATATAAATATAATATATCTCTATATATGTAAGTATGACCACTACCAAGTTTATACCGGGGAAACAATCTAATTGGGGGATTGTTTGACTAAACCACATGGAAGAATCCTCAATTGACCATATGGCTAGGGAACGAGCTATCCAACCGGGGGACAGGGCTCAACAGCACGTACAACAGAATCATCAATACTCGTATGCTTGTGACAAGTCTTACGCGTGCAAACTAACCCCACTAAGGGTCTACGAAACACCCCGTCAAGAGTGCCCGGGTTCCGACATATCCAAGTATCCCATAGTTCCAAATTTCCAATCCAAGTATTCCAAATCTGGGGAGGAACATAGGGTAGTGCTAATAGCACTCAAAACTGACTTAAACCACAACCCAATCCACATTTCATAAACTCTTTCCAACAACCCCATATACCCAACACATATTCAAGTATAAATAATCATTCTAAAAAATCGCGCATATCCATTCAAAATAATCACAATTCGCAAATATTCGAATATACTTCATTTACTTTCATAAAAATATTATATTCAACATTTAAATAAATAATAACTTAATAATCAAGAAGTCATTATGCATATTTTTCCCATCCTTGAAAATAATGATTATAGTTTAAAAACAAAGTCCACTCACAGATAGTCCCACGCCACTTGACCCTGAGAGGGTCCCGCCTGTTGTGTACGCTGGGTCGGAGTACCTATTTAAGAACACGAGGGCTAGATTAAAATAAAATACCTCGAACGAGAACTTTAAAATAAATTCCTAATTTTTCCCGAGATTAAGGGTGTATGACGAACGAGAAGTTTCTAAGGTCCAACTACGTTTTGAATGGTGGAGTAGCCTCGGAAGACGCTCGGTCAACCAAGTGGTCAAACTTCCCAAATTTGGTCAACGGGCCGCTGGGCCCACGACCTCCAATTTCCGATCCGAAAGTTCCTAAGGGTTCAACAACATTTATTATTCATGTCCTGCAAGTTTGGTCTGAATCGAACGGTCGGATCGCACGCGATCGCACGATCAGACGGTTATCGTTTTACGCAAACTTTAAGTCATTGAATCGGAGCATCCGAGACTCCGATTCACAATCCGTCAATTCCTACACGACCCTAGAGATACCTAGATCAACATATTTGGAAATGGAGTCGATCCAACTGTCCGAACATATCGAACCTGGATAACGCCTAATATCCGTAAATTTGATCAACAGTCAAGCGATAACCAAATTCAAATCCGAGCATACCATCGTACTCGGGATGACATGGGGATCATTTTAGGACCAAATGGGTCACCCGAATAGGGCCCACGCACCGCCACACGCGCCGGCAGTTAGTGGGTCTTAAGAAATTCCGACGACCGGAAAATTCTTGAAACACCCATCAATACCTATACCAACATGATCAGGGAAACGAGTGGAGCAACTTTTGTTCTTGGACCATGGCCAAAAAATGACCGAAACTTGCCTGAAACTCGAGTCGAAAACCGGCCAAACTTTAGATTACACATCGAACCTCAAAACTCAAAAATCGATCCTAATCAACCCAACTATCAGCTAGATCACATTGAGAAGATGAGAAAGCATACCTAGATCAATGAAAATGGTGGCCGAGATCGTTGGAACGAACGTCGGAAGTTTTGGGTCAAAACTGGAGGCTTTTCTACGTTTTCCGGCGACAGTGGTGGCTGATCGTGGTAGGGGAGGGGCGGGATGGAGGGAGGAGGTGGAGGTGGTTGTTTTGGTATCCACCTTGTGGCCAGAGGTGGATGATGGCGGCGGAGGCTGGCCAAAACGTGGCAAGTATGTTAAAAGGGGGGCTGTCGCACGAAGAGGAAAATATCGGGGGGAGAGAGAGAGAGAGGAGAGAAATTTGATTTTGTAAAAACCAACTTTCAAATATTTACGGTTGTGCCATTGCACTTCGGTTGATCGTAACTTCTTCGTTACAACTCCGATTTGAGCCCACTACATGTCTACAAACTCATATCGATGCAATCTATGTTATGGTGCCATTCAATTCCCCAAAATCCTACCGGATTAAAACGTGACCAAAATTGTAATTTCATAATTAAATAAATTCATTAATTTAAATGGACAATAAAAATAGGGTCGGGGTGTCAAACTTCTTGATAGACAAACCCCAGGGTAGGACAGAGTACCACACATGTCATTGACTAAAAAGAGAGTCTGAAATGGTCACGCAACACCAATGCTAGAGTAAGATAAAATAAAACATCAAACTGACACATAGACCTCCGACGAGAACACTACAACACAATCTAAATCTCAAAAGAGTCATGCTATGAAATCATAGTCCTTTGCACAGCCACAAGACATTGAGAAAGAAAACATCCACTAAGCACACCATCTCCAGCCACCTCCAATAGCAATTGGCAATGAAAGAAGAGAAATCTGCAAGGAACAACACAAAGAAGATACTAACCGTGCAAATAGGCTAGGAAAGAAAAGAAAAGAAAAGAAAAAAAAAGGGCCCCCAAGCACGCCGTATCATCTCAACACTGACAAAGAAACCTCCTATGAAAACATAGTTCTTGAGACAGGCGGAGAATCAAAGATCAGCTAAAGGGAGAACGAAGAAAACACAGAAAACACCACGCAACAATAACAAAACTGACCTAGCCACTTAACCTAAACATGAGGATCATGCACAAAAGCATTCACCAGATGCCAAGCCCACGAATGCTCCAAGAACACATTAAGGACGGCACCCAGGAGACTCTACTCGGCCAGTCTCCATAGGTTTGTCAAGAGGGACACCAACATCACTTGGATTCACATTCAACATCGTAGAGTAAACAGCCAAACCAGTAAAGATGGGTAAAAGGATGGTACCCAACAACCTTAGTTGCTAAAAACTATCCCAATACCATGAAAAGGAGGACCAAAGCTATTGACCCTAGGTGAAAGACCACCTCTTCTCTGATGACCTTAGTTGGTCTTGGTCAGAAATCCTGCTAGCGAAGTCGGAGATGTCTAGCAATGGTTGACGCAGTGTTCCAGCAAAAGGTCTTGCAAGAGGTCACAAATATAGTTAGAGGATTGATCTCTTAATGTGAGTAAGAACCACTTCTTAGGATTGGCGCAGATGAGAGTTTCAATGTTATGGTGACTATGGTTTCTTCAAGGTGATAGGGAGAAGGTTGTCAAAATCATCAACATAGAGTCTTGGTCGATTTGGGCTAAAGTCCCTTGAGATTGACCATGGTTTGGAGCAAAAGAGGAAGGATGCTGTAGCTTTTGATTTTTGAATAAAGATGTACAGTTGGCTTATCGAAAGGTACTTTGGCTTCTACAATCTAAGTCAAGTACTTTGAGTAGATCCACGCCATTTGAATAAGAAACCATCACTTTTGGATATATATATATATATATATATAATTTATGATGAAATGTGCATGGTTGACTATCCAAAGTGAGTTGGATTGTTCAAAAGGTTGGTTTGGATCCTATGACCTAAGATAAAAAAATATCATAAGTAATATTTTGGAAAGAAAGAATTTATTATACTAGGAGTGTTAAAGGCCAAATTGGCCTAATGCTAAAACTAGATGGCCATTTGGCCAACCAAACTTAAGTAACCATGGTCTAAGTTGGAAATTTTGTTGATCCATGATATATAATTATATATAAACATATGTTATGTGTTGTGAAGAAAATGGAGGCCTTACAGCGTGGTAGCTTTCAAATGCCATGATTTGGTTTGCATTTTGTTTTATACACACATATATATATATATATATATAATGATCTTAAGTTTGAACCGAGAAATTTCCAACCACTCCAACATTGGTGGATTATTTTTAATCAATACTAGAACACCTGAAGTCACAATGTCACACCAGGTGTCAAGACAAGTCTCAGAGGTCCAAGCCCGTGCCCCAGATTTGAACCAAAGATTTCTGGAGAACTGCATGCATTTGACGGAAACCACATAAGGAAGGAAATCAAGGAGATTGATGATAATCCGGAGTTCCAAAAGAAGAGAGAATCAAGCAATCAGAAAATCTCCATCAATGTGATCCTACGGATTTGGAGGCTTCAAAAAGAAAGAATTTCAAAGGAGCTAACCTTTGGCCATTTAATGGACAGCCCATGGGCTAACGGATGCTCCTATATAGACCTCTCCATATGAAGAGCAAAGGACCCGACATTATACACAAAAACTTACTTTTCGTCCTTCACTTTTCAATCCCTAAACTAGGTTTTATTTTCTAAGGAAGTAGACTAGATTAGTTCTTCGCTTTCGTTAGTGTAAGTTTAAGTTCTTGCATTTTTCATTACATTGTTTTTCGATTCAAGTTTATTGGTTTACTTTTAGTTGTTGTCGAATTTTCTTTAAGTTTAATTTAATTTCAGATTGCTTTATTTTATCACCCTTATCGTTCATCCCGCTCTTGTTTCGTTCTTACTTAAATTTACATTTATCGTTGCTTCGATCTTATTTTAACATTTACTTTCTTTTTGTTTAGTTTAATTGTCTTTTTAATTGAATTTGCGTTATTATCATTAAATCCCAAAAAATACTAAAAAATACACATATGAAACCTAACCATCCTCGACTCGAGGAAGTGAAAGAACCTAGACCAAAATTTCCTTCCGTTGCCCACCTCAGTCGAAAAGAGGGAAACATCACTATTGTTTTGTTCTTTTTAGCCAAGGTGGCCAACGAAAGGAACTTTTGGTTATTCTTCTTCAAGATGGTTAGGCGTGCCACCACCAAGTCACCAAATGGTCTCGTTGGAAAAGGTTGGGTGGATGAGTTGGGCTCTAACTTCGAAGCAAACAATTGATCGGCCAAGTAAGGAACCTCTTCTTGGCCCAGGTTCTTTCACTTCCTCGGATTCGAGGATGGTTAGGCTTCGTAGGGATGTTTTTGTTATTTTTATGCTTTTTAGTAAGAATGATGCAAATTAATTAAAGATGCGATTAAATTAAATGACAAGAATGAAAGTGCAATAAAATATATTGAAGTGATAAATAAATGTAAACTTAACAAAGAACGGAATGAAAAATAACAAGAACGATAAAGAACTGAAATTAAAGATAACAAAACAATTTAAGTAAACATGAATTTAAAAGCAAGATAATATAAATTGCAAGAAATTATAACTTACACTAAGAAAAGGAAGCACTTGCTACACTAATTGTTTGAAAATAAAACCTAGTCTAAGAATAAAAAGGTACAAGACGAAAAATAAGTTTGTGTGTTTGATGATGTGTGTCCTTTTATCTTCATATGGAGAGGTATTTATAGTGTTTGTACCATATCTGATCCTCTACTCATACAACGACACGTGGATCATGGGGACTCACCCAAGTACCCAAGGCCTTGAACAATCGGTATCGGCTACCGATGGCATTGTCTCAAAGCTACCAACAGCTGCTACAGGCCCATCCCGTCTACAATCGGTGCCCCCTACCGATTCTGCACAATCAACCTCGAAGCACCCGCCCGAAATATCTAAGGACTCGTGTCAACCTCACAGGGCCCTCCCACGAGTCCCACATCGAAAGAAAGTACTAAGAGCATACAAAATGCCCTCTATAAATACACCCCTTCACCACAGTACAGGGGTAAGACTTTTCAGCTTGACTTATATACTGATATATTGTCAACAGCAAGAGCTCTTAGAAACCAAACTTACTTCGGCATCGGAGGGTCGTAGGCTGGTTCCACACCGGTTCCATAGACCTTACGAGTCTCGACTTCTTTCTATTCAGGATCAGCATCCAAGGACAGGAAGAATCGGC